CATAATGGCAACAAAAACCAGAAAATATTTAAATTTTCCATAAAATCCGCTACTGTAGCCTTTACTTAGCTGAGAATATGACTTATGAGAGTTTTGTTTTAGCTGTGGCTTAAGTTCCACAATTTCGTTAAATAAGAAATATTAGCTTTCTCTCTGTGCTCGTTAAGTATTGTTCTTGCTTCTTGCTCTCAACAGTATCACAGCACTTCGTGCTGTTCAATGCCCATAAATATATACAAGTACATGAACAGATATTGTAAAAGTAATCTTAGTGCTCAGTTGTCTTCAGTAATAAGCCCACCAGAGGCAAAGCAAAAGTTAGTTTCTTTCAAAAAAATAAACATACTTGATAAGACTACGTACGTGCAGCTCATATTATAATTAATGTTTTTTAAGTGGGTGGTGGTGCCCTAGTTGGCTGGTAGATGAATGCTGAGTGAAAGTGAGAACGAGAATTTTATCTAATGCTTCTACTAACACTTGGAACTTTACAAACATAACGTTACAAAACTACAAATTCAAAACATTATACATATGAAGCTAACGTTACACTCAGGTGGTAAACAGGGTAAAGTTCCATAGTCTCCTAGTAATTACTTTTTGTTTTGTGCTTTTGAAAAATTAGTCATTCGTTAAATGAAGAAATATTATCAAGAATTTCTCCAGATTTCATGATATTCATTTCAACAGAAATTATTCTATATATATATATATATATATATATGTATATAGATAAGTATAAAGCTTAGAGCTCTCTTGTTGTAAAATTAAACCATAACATAAAATATATGCACCATAAATGGAAATAGATACCAAGCGGAATCATGAAAAATGCTTAAAGAAACCGTACCATGCTTTTCCAAAGTCATGTAAAATTTATTTAGAAAAGTACGACTGAAGTGTATTCTAAGTTCTTACCAAGGTAGTCCTCATATGACATATAAAAGCATTTGCTTTTCTAAAATCATAGTAATTAACAATTTATGTTAACTTATATCACATCGGATTTGTCATACCCTACGCTACTTGTGATACAACGGCATACTACGTTTGTGCGGGCGTATGTAAGACTCAGAAGGACTTGAAATCGACCCACGTTTTATTATGTCGGTCGATTCAAAATCACGTTTTCGACCACTCCCGATATACCGCCTTATTTTGGTAGGTAGCTACGTAAAAGACTATTGTAGTTTTCGAAATTTTGCGACAAGACTCACTGAGTAATATTATGAGTATTTTGACACTTTAAATTTGTGTAAAGGCTTTGGATAGGGCAAAGTTTTGAACCCCGTGCTATATGACCGTTCCGTACGGAAATTGAATTTCTATATAGTAAAAAGGAATAGGTAAGGTACCTTACCTTGTAGGTAGGGTATTAGTTAGAATTCCACGCCATATAAAGGTTCTTATGAAAAATAAGCCTCTATATGGCAAAAGTGCCCAATTTTATGATGGAAATGGGCTCGTATGAGTAATTTGATATAAAATCTAAATGTATCAAATTTGGACCAAGCGGGTTTATTTTTTAGACGTCATAGCATGCAAGGAAATATCTTGAAATATTGAACGCATGCGTCCCAAAAACCGCTTAGTTTTTAATATTTAAAGATTTATGTTGAAAATTAGTCCATGTATGGTAGCAATATAGCACAAAACCGTAGGGAAATTGGATGACGCAGGTTTAATTTTCAGATTGTACCGCACGTGAAAACCAATCGCTTTTATAACGACCAAGTCTAATTTGTAGCTTTTTATGATTAAAGCAAGTGAATTGTGTTAATATTTTTGACAAGTAAATTAAGTTTGCTACATTTCGACTACGTTGGCCGGCGTTTTGAATGTTCTCCAAAATGATGGCTTACATGTACATTCTATAAACGATGATTAGAAGTAATGTATAACACGAAAATGAAGGTTTGCCTGTATTAGGCGAAGTGGTGTGAGGCAACTAAGGCGTCCTTGCCTGACTATAGTGGTCTTACCACGGTGTTATTTGCTTTTAATTTAGAAAAAAAAAAAAAATAGTGAAAGTCCGTTAATGTTTGGTGTATCTACAATGAAAAAACAACGACCTTAGTACACTTACTTATTGCCCTGCAATGGTCACGTTTCTTTTTCAGTGTCAACTTAGCGCCTTGTCAACACTTCTAAAAGAAAACTCCTGTTTACGAGCAAAAAAAGGAAGGAAAAACAAAAGTTGGTTTTATGAAAACGTAATATCCCGCACTTGTGCAGATTGGTTGTTCTTATCGATAATGAAAACTATGTAAGCGTAAGGAAGACAAGTGGGAACAAGTAAGAATTTGTAATTGACGGATGTGCGATAAAGACAAAAGTATCGCAACGCTCCGTTGCCTCTTTTTCTCTTTTCCTTCTGCTCATTAACCAGCTCGGACACGTAACAGGAAAACCTACACTACCTAACCACTTTATCATCTGCAGACGACAGCATTTTGAGTTACTAGTTCCCTTTTAATTGTTCTTCCCTCCTTCCCGAATAAGTACAAGCCCTCCTAAAAAAAAAAAGGAAAAAAGGGACCATGAGACAAAATAAACGCTACGTTATGAGTACCACACCGAACCATGATCTCACTAAAAGATCTGAATTGGATACAGCAAATACGATAAACACACAGGAAGTGATAAGCAGCCCTTTCCGCTAATGGTATCAATGTTGAAAAATGGGCCGGAAGAAGGGCGAGCTTTCCGTTTGTTTCCTTAGAATTAATTTTACTAAATTGTTGCCAATAATGTGCGTGCCTCTGTTATTATTAAAGCTAGAAAGAATATTGCCTTTCTGAAATTTCTTTTCAGATTGGCAATCAAGTGGACCTTCGCGTTTTCATATACAAGCAAAAACAAATGTCAAACCAAAATAGCGCAATTCAAACTGCATAGACAATAGAATAACTTACGGTACCTGAGCATTTAACTTAGTGCATATTTTGTAATGTGACATATACATATATACAATATACATATATTATATAATATGTAACATGTAACTTATAATCTCTAATATGCAATATACAATAAATAAACGCTATAAATAGTGGAAACTAAGACAACGAAATTATTATTAGAAAAAATTTCCTTTCCAGTTTATACTTGATGCGCAACAACGATTTTCAGCACATGCTGCCTATAAAAAAATTTGTTAAAAATTTTTATCCGCACGTATTACTGTTAATATAAGTAGATTTTTAGTAATGACACGCATGAAAGTGTTATGCAAGAAAACTTATACGAGCGATACGGCAGCTAGCTTACTTAACTGACTTAAGATAGAAGTTTCCAAAGTTTAATTTACTTATAAATTAAAAGATTTCCGGTATATTTACGTATGAGAGTTGCCCAAGCGAGTTTCTCTTCATAACCTTACGTCGGCATCCAAAAGGAAAAGTAAATCATTCAGGGAATACCGTTTTCGAAATTCCTAAAAACTAAAATGATTGAAGGAAATATCCAGCTGCTTGTCTAACTAGTCAAGTATCTACGCTCTAGTACTGCTAACGCTTGACGAGTGCTATTAATTGCAGGTATTTCGCTCAATTCTTTCTCATTGATCGGCGACTAAATCTAATTTTTGTAAAAATAATAGATTTTTACCGATTACGTGCCGATATGAAAATTTTTTCTTGCTTTATTAAAAGCTTAATTAAGTGGTAGGAACAATGAAGAAGCAGAGCACTTAGTTCGATTTCGTATGATGAGAAACGAACGCGCTTAACAAAAATTAAGCAAAATGTTAGAATTTATTTCTTCGATCTACATAAGTTGCAAGAATGATAATAATACACTAAGTTACACTGCTGTAACATAACAGTAGTAAGTAGACCGTCTACATGAACTTGCATTTCCAGTTGAATCTAGACCAATCGAACTTTAGAAAATGTCTAAATAGTAGAGAAATCATTTAGATTGATTCGCATTTTTGCATTCGCTTCTATAGGTGAGAAGCTTCAAAAAAAAAGGGGCAAAAATTGGAATGTTTGCAAACCTCTGCAATTCTAGCTTAATGGTAAAACTACTTTCTTAGTAGTTATTGAATGGGATACGTCTCTTCTCTGTTCTGAATTAAATAAATTTTGACGTTCAATATTTGCTTCTATTTTAGGCAGTCTAGGTAAAGGTTTACCGTATTACTTCATAGGGGCTGCAACACGGATTGATTCCAAACATTTTGCTTTTCTCGCTGAAAAGAGTATGGGTCCGTTAAGAAAAATAAAGACGGTGAATACACAGGAAAAAAGATAGGAAAACAGAGGGATATAAAGAAAAAAAGAGACCGTTAGTAATAAGAAAGGGCGATAGAGAGAAAGAGAGAAGAAGAGATAGAATGAAAACGCACTAACTAATTGGTAGTTGTAACATAATGCTGGCAATGACGTCAAATGATGACTGGAAGGATTTTAGAAAGCCTTCTGAAGCAGTTTGAATAAAACAACATGTGACGGCATCAAGTTTGGAATCTCACCTTTATATAGAAGAAAAAGAGAGAAGAGGAGCCAGAATCATTTAGAAAACGAGGAGATTGTGTTGCCCGTTTCGAATACAACTTGCAATAAGCCATGTTAATGTGCAACGAAAGCCCTTTCATACCCAACAAATGACTCTGTTTATGAATTCTTAAATTGCAAAGTTTACAATAATGCCTTACTTCTATTCCGTTATCTTGATCTTAAGTGCTCTCCATAAACTAAATAAGTCAGGCAAAAACCCAAACATCTATATGCATTCACACAAACGTATACGTAGATATAAACATACTTAGGCATTCACAATCCTTATATAAACCTATGACTAATGGCTGTCAGGTACGTATTCATAAATGCCTTTACTCGCTTGTTGCGTAAATCGTGGAATAATTATGAAAGGGAGAATAAAATCATTATATAATTGTATAAATTGGAGAACAATTGTAAAAATTGCTGCAAACGGCAAAGAACTATAGACAATTTTATTTTGTAAATTCAAAGGCTTTTTTCTGCTCATTGCAGGAAATCGATTACAATGGTTTTCGAAGTTTTTTGGATGCTTTTCTCGATTGCGAAACGCCTACGGAATTGGCGCAACATTTGTTCCTATCTTTCCTTAAGGGGAACGTTACCAACAATATTCAATTACAGGGCAAGACTCTTAATCAAATGGCGGCCATTAGTAGTACGACCGCTTGTGCACCAGTCACAGCGCATACTAAAGGTATCAGAAATGCATGCACATACTGAAAATAGTTTATATTTCGTTTACACAAGCGCGCATATCTGAATCCTTTAAATTTATATTAAGGCTCGATACCACATATGAACACACTAGCGGATATGACATCAACGGCAACAATAACGGCTCCATTACCTGCAACTGAAACACGTACCAGTTTTGTAGATAAACTACAGCAGGGCATAACCGATAAATTGCATTCCCTTAGCGGCCATTTAACGCATGATGCCACTAAAACAGGTGATCAACCACAGTCATAGAAAATTAACATATTTATCTCTCCTTTTTCATTTACTGATGAATTTAAACGGTTTTTGAAATTAACAGCACAGTCCCAGTCCATTCATTGTACTTTTTCTTATGTGCTTTTTCTCTTTTCAACGCTTTCTAGGTAGCGTTATTCATCCTATGGTTACCGTTACACCCAGTCCTATTGCCGCTTTTCAAACGACTGCAATCAACGCAAACAACATATCGTCGAGCAATGGAAATGCTGCAAGTGGTCCTGGCATTGGTATGGGCATGAATGCCGGCAAAGTATGTTCAGCACCTGCTGGCGTGAACAATGCCAAACGCTCCACAGACTCCAGTCCTTCGCATTCACAAACCAATCATTCCCAAATGTCACGCAATTCGTCGAAAAAAAGCAACAATTCAGCTAATTGTAAAGTAGACGGTAAGTTAAGTTTAATAAAAACTCAGCTAAACACGTATGCATACGTATTCGTACGTAACGTAACTTATCTATGATATATATATATTATTTTTTGGTCTTGATTCTATGTCAACAAATGCATTTATGTAAACATAAATCCATAGGTTCGTTGGCTTGTATATCATATCCCCTCGCTGATCTCGTGCGTTACGACGGTGGTGTAATTTCGGTTCCAATTAATTCGCGAAATAAAACATTCGCAAACCATGCATTGTATCTCTCTTTTCCTTATTCCCACGAAATCTTAAATGAGTTAATTTTTCGTCTATTTTTTCTACTTCCTATAAAACGATGATCGAGAAAAGCTTTAAAAATTTGCATTCAAGATAAACCTAACCACTTTTCTCTTTTCCGAAATTTCCATTTTGCTGAATTAATTGGAAACGTTCTATTTACTATGCCGTGTTCACTCCGCAAAAGTGCTCAATTTAGAGTATCTAGGTATTAAGAATTTACTTACTTACTTTGAAAAAATGTGAAGATTTTTATTTAACGTGGAGTGAAACTGTCATATCCAATATGGAATTTACTTATAAAATAATTGACTTTTAAATGTCTGAATATGTAATTAATTCATGATTAAAATGCACAACAACTCAAGTCGGAACATAAGATAAACAAGTATTAGTTTGGGGAAAAAGAAATCCATTATTTTTTGGGTAGATGGCTGCGCTGATAGATTTCTCGTAAAGTATCGATCAAACAATTTCATATTTACGCTCGTTGGAAAGGTGACATTTCGCAGTAAAAAAAATTCTTTTGCTGTTTTTTGTTTGGTACATTCAGTTGTGAGTTACAGCGTGTTAAAAATGGAAGTGAACAAAGAGAAAATTCGGTACATTTTACAGTTTTTCTTTGACAAAGGCGAAAATGCAAGCCAGGCGGCTAAAATTGCGAATGGTGTTTATGGTTCCGATACTGTAACAGCCAATTATGTGCAATTTTGGTTTCGTAGATTCCGTTCAGGAATTTTTGATGTTAATGATGCACCTCGCACAGGTAGGCCGGTCGTCGAAAATGTCGATAAAATCGGAGAAATGATCGAAGTTGACCGGCATGTTAGCAGTCGTAACATCGCCCAGGAGCTAAAAATCGACCATAAAACAGTTTTAAACCATTTACACAAAGCTGGATTCAAAAAGAAGCTCGATGTTTGGGTGCCACACCAATTAACAGAAAAAAACATGATGGATCGAATTTCCATCTGCGAAGCCTTGGCCAAACGGAATGAGATAGACCCATTTCTTAAACGGATGGTGACTGGAGATGAGAAATGAATCACATACGGTAACCCTGTGCGAAAACGATCGTGGTCAAAGAGCGGTGAAGCACCTCAAACGGCCAGGAAGGTTTTGCTACGCATTTGGTGGGACTGGAAGGGGATTATTTATTATGAGTTGCTTCCATATGGCCAAACGCTAAATTCTGATCTCTACTGTCAACAACTGGACCGTTTGAAGATAGCGATTGACCAGAAACGGCCAGAATTGGCCAACAGGAGAGATGTCGTGTTCCACCAGGACAACGCTAGGCCACACACATCTACAGTGACTCGCCAGAAACTTCGGGAGCTTGGTTGGGAAGTTTTAATGCATCCGCCATACAGTCCGGACTTGGCACCAAGCGATTATCATCTTTTTCTTGCATTGCAAAATTTCTTTAATGATAAAAAATTGGAATCTAGGGAGGATTGTGAAAATCGACTACTAGAGTTTTTTGCAAACAGAGACCAGGACTTCTATGAGAGAGGCATTTTGAAGCTACCTCTAAAACGGCAACAAATCATACAACAAAACGGTGCATATTTGACCCAAATCGGACAATCCGAAGCATGTTAAATAAAGTTCTGAAGTTCATATAAAAATAATGGATTTCTTTTTTCCCAACCTAATATTTAACTTTCATACGGAATTTTATGAGAATTTATTAATTTATATTTAATTTATTAAATTTTGTTTATTAATTTAAGCATTATTTAAATTATCCATTCATTCATTCGTTCTATTCATTTCATTCATAGATTAATTTAATTATTTTTTCATTGATGCGTTTATTCACCCATGCACTAATTTATTTCTTCATTCATTCGTTTTTTAATTTGTACATCTAACCGTTCATTAGTATCTATGATTCATTCATTAATTTATTCAATTAGTCATTCATTTCAGCATTTTTTTCTTTATTCGTTTATACGTATTCATTCAATTATTGATTTATTAATTTCTCATTTACTACTTCACTCACTTATTCCCTTCACTGATTCGTTTATTAGAAATAATTTGGTTTATTAATTTAACGATGTCTATCTCTATTCATTTATTTACCTTATTCATTCAGTCATATATTTCTTGAATTAATAATTTATTAATTGCTCTTTTATTCATATAATCATATATTCATATATTCAATTATCCACTTATTTCATTATTCATTCATTTGTTTATCAATTTATCCATTTGTTCATACATTATTAATTAATTAATTAATTATATTATTCAATCATTTATCAACTGATTCCATAATTCATTTATAATTTATTAATTTATTCATTTATTACCTTATTTATCTATGACTTTATTCATTTATTCATTCATTTATTAATTCATTAATTATTGATTGATTATCTACTATTTTAGTCATCCATTCATTCATTTACTAATTTATTCAACTATCTATTTATTCATCCATTCATTCATTTACTAATTTATTCAACTATCTATTTATTCATCCATTAGTTTATTCATTTATTAATTTATTCATTCATTCATTTATTAATACAACTATCTATTCATTCATTAATTATTAATTTATTATCGATTCATTTATTCATTCGTTCACTCAATTATTTATTGATTTATTTATCTGTGGCTTTATTTATTTATCCACTTATTCGTTTCTTTATTCCTTCATTCACTTGGTCGCCCTATTCATTTACTAATTTATTCACATTTTCCTTTATTCATTTATTCGCTTATTCATTCATTAATTTATTCGTCTACATATTCGTTTATTTACTCATTCATTCGGTTCTTAATTAATCCAATTATTCATTTATTCATTTACTTATTTATACGTACTTTCATTCGTTCATTCATTCATTCATGCATTCATTCATTCCTTCACTTATTCATTTACTCATTTATTAATGTATCTATACTATACACTCATTTGTTCATCCATTTATTTAGATATTTGTATACTCGTTCCATGAAAACATTTTTAACGACCAGAAGGAAACTTCAGGGATCCCAAAAAAATTGTATATATTCCTGATGGGAATCAAACTCTGAATCTATTTAAGCATGCCGGTTCGTTTGCCTGACCATCTGTCCGCTGACCAGTTATGCAGAATCTGGGATAAACACATCGCCTACAAATTTCCCAAAAAAATGTCGAAAATGCCCTAAACAGGTTAAACAACACATCTGCAAAGGTCACACGTTTACGCAATCAAAACGTGTATTTTTCTCGTTGCTAATAAACTACGATAGCTACACGATGTATATTTCGACAAAATTATTCTGTAAAAACAGAAAAGAAAACGACAACGCTCGCTTAACATTACCGAGTACCCAAATTTACACTTTCCCTTTGTTTCAATCTTTCATAGGATAGCGGTGATCGGTATGAAAGAATTTCCCACAACCGAATATAATTTTCATACTTTTTTTCTTCCTTCATTCATTCGTACGTTATATTTTTATGAATTTTCACATATTTTTATTTTCACACAACAAACTTATCATTCACAACATGATCATTGCGATCTTTCGCGATTAAACTTAAGAGAACTCGGAGTATCTACTAATTAATCCGTACAATCTGTTTAGTGAATTATTTTTGAATTGCTTTGCCTTCATTTTTAATCAAATTGAAGGATAATAAATATTACGAGTTATGCGATTCTGCCTTTGAACATTTACAGACATATTTAATCATTTGAATTCATTCTATCTATTGTTGGACGAACGTTCATTTCAAACGATATAAATCGTATTATTCTATTATATACATATGTATATATATATATATATATTTATATAAATGTATGATATACAAATATATGCATACACAACACCATTCATACATACATACATACATACATAAATACATACTTAACATAGATAAGAGCTTCGTGCTTCGAGATAAACGGACTTGTTTTTATTGCATCCTATTATATAGACGGCAAATTGCTATGCATATAAACCATAAACGCTTCGTTCCTCTTCATATAAATAATAAAATTTATCTAAATAGAAAGTAATTATTAATTAAAAAGCTACTTTGTGAAAGTTTGTGCGTGTGAAAGCGTTTTGTTTTACTACCATTTGTCATGTAATCCGAGCCTTTCGGTTTTCCATTTCAATTTAGATGACATTTTGTATAAAGACAAAAAAATAAACGAATAAATTTTCCATTGACTTTCTGAAGCGGATAGAAGAGAAGAGGAAGCGATTGTTAGGAAATGAAATTAAACGAGAATAATTGTCATTAGAGGGAACTTGTTAGCTGACAAATTCTTAGCATAAAATTTGTTTTGTAAATGGTAAATATTCCAGGATAATTAAATTAATGGTCAAACAATACAATAAAGTTTCAACGACCACATTTTCACAAATGATATATATTTATATATATTTATATAAAGAAGAAAAATTCATAATGAAAAAGCCAACAAAGAAACTCAGTCTTTATTACTTATTTAATGTATATGATATGCTCAAAGGCTCTTCTCTCGCTTTTGTTACTTGAAGCAAATATTTATACAAAATGGAAGGACAACTACTTAATTAATCTTTACCGATAAATAGGGTATGTAATTTTTGTCCAAACCAAACCAAAAGCACTTTACTTCGACATTTAAACGCAGAATAAATACTTATCCGCCTTTGCTATCTAGCAAACTAATGAGGAAGCTGAGGATCAATCACATGCTTAAAGCTGCTCTATAACCATCTAACTTAGCCTATATAGCAAATTTCACTGCGCTCAATGTACGCTTTGATTAGTTCACCTTTCTTCACCAAACTTTTGACAAAAGAAACCTCAAACAAATCTCGAAAAGCGTTAGATACCTTTGTAACTGCAAAAAATTGGTTCGCCAAGTAAAATCGACAATTCTCCTTTCTCCATGTCTGCAGAAGAAGTGGATGGCTTTTAAATGGCTTATCAGTTTTTCGAAACAGTTGGCCAACAGTAAGCACTCTAAACTACTTTAGCATCGACATCTCTTTCTCTCTCCCTCCTCGACGTTTGCAAAGGGAAAAAACAAATAAGAAAATTACATTCGCTGGTGGTCGAACCGCTTAGACACATTACCGTGATCCTAAAAAAATTCTTTTCCATTTCTCTTGCAAGTTTTTAGGTGATATCTTCATTCTTTCCAACGGAGGAATGGTTAACACAGATTCCCCACCGTTCGGCGGATTGTTCTTGAAACTTGCTTCTGAGCATTATAAAGCCATTGAAAAAAAAAAAAAAAATGAAGTTGTAAGACACTATAAAATGGAGTAGACGTGGCTGATTTTTTCCATGTTTTTGAGGTACAACGACATCGTCCATAGAATTTACATTCCAATTTTTATACATTCACCTGTTGCCCTTTATGAGTAATGAGCAAAAAGCCCAACTTTTTATTCGTTTTGTAGAACAAAGGCGCCTTGAATTTACTGCAGCTCTGCAAGCACACACTTCGATTGGTTTATCCCATTTTCAATAGCGATCTGTGTGCAAGAATTTCCAACGTTTCTGCCAAATTTGAAGTCGATAGTCTCACTTTTGCGGCCAAGAGAACGTGTACAACAGAAATTACACAGACGGGGAGACGGCGATGCACAGATTGCTTCAGAATTTGACCCTAATCAAGAATATATATACATTGGGGGATCTCTAAAGCTTCCTTCTCGGTGCTGCAAGTGTTTTGACAAAATGACTATTTTCCTCATCCTCCCATCATGAGTGTAAAAATAAACTACAAAAGTATGCAAACTACACGTTGTCGCAAAAAAGAGGTCTTCGCACCAATAGTACTTTTTCTAAAATAGTTTTAATTATCGTCTTTACAGTACTTTTGTACAGGCTTAAAATTGCTCATCAAGAAATTGTGGTGAACTGTTTGACATCTTGTTGAGTGTTTTCTCTCTTGACTTTTAATTTTAATTCAATTTCTTTGCAGTAGACAAAGAGACTGCTATGTAAGTAAGACATAAAAAGATTGGCAACAATTGTTTTTCTACTACTCAATCAGGCCAATCTTACAAATGTATACAAATTTGCGTCGATATCTGCCCCTTCCCATAACTATCTTACTTCACTCTGCTATGCTCTTTAGACTTTCATATTATTTGTATATCAATGTTTATACGAAATCTTTCACGATTTGATATTAAATCTGGTATTTATAAAATAGTAAATAAGAACTCATTCCGATCAATATAATGAGGTATATATTATAAATTAATTTGCTTAGTAACTCAATTAGCATTGAACTTAGTGATAAGTTGAACACAAAAAAAAAAAAAAAAAAAAAAAAAGCAGTAGAATAGTAAGGATATCATGATCTGGGCTACCGCGTGGTCAATCCAAACAGTCGTAGGATGAGTTTGAATACCGTTGTATTTTCGATCCTTTCAACATCGATTACTACAAACTATTCACAGTTTAGTCACGGTTGCAGCGTTGTTTCTTGTTCCATACAGTTATGTAAGATGAAGAAGAAAGTAAACAGAAGTGATCCGTTCTTGCTTTCTTTCTCTTGTTTGCAGTGTTCTTGCTTGGATAGAACGCATTCACTGAACGACTACTCATTAAAAAGAATAAAAGCAGAAAAGAACGAAACCATATCATGAAGTGTAGAATATTAATTAAGGAATAATTTGTCTAGGGATGATTTAAGAGAAGTTTTAATTCAAATGGATACTAATTTATAGAGACAATGTTTGGATGTTTATCACTTTAAAAAAATGTCTGTTAAATTTCCACGTTCCGCCTTTTAACAAGCGAACGAAGTTTGATAATATATAGGCTTAATAAACGAAATAAGACCGAAATACCCTACCCTTATCCTTTATATGAATGTAAGCAAACATTATCTATATAAACGATATAAATATATGTAAACAAAATATTTTTTATATGACCATATCTGCTATATCTGCTGGAGTTGTCCAAAATCGATTTTGAATTGCATAATGCACTGTAAAACATGTTATTGCCCTCTGAAGAAAGCGTGGAAAAATTGCAATGCTTTTTATCCTTTTATAGTCCCTCTAAAGTTTTTAAGATCACGCTTGGTAACTGGTATTTTCACTTTGCGGGATGTTTATTTAATGTCTGTCCATCCGTCCAAATAGATCGCAATTAGGATGTTTATGAAGTGATGAAATTTCGTTTCAAGAACAAATCACATTGAAAAAGGGATTGAATCTGCTCACTCTCCATGTGAATCCCCCGAATTAATGATCGATTCTGGGGAAATTTTTATAGTAAATAGAAAAATTGCTATACGAAATGTTTCTTGGCAAAAAGCGATGAAAAAAACTATTTTCTCATCTCAAGGGCATACTAAAAAGTTTGAATGTGGTAGGAGCCTGTGTGTGAGTGCCCTCTCGTATTCATAGCAAAAATAGAGCAACAAGATCTAATTTTCATTATTTTACCATATCATCGTAATACTACTTTTGTAGTAAGGAAATAAACTCTTCGACTAAAGTAAAAACTGATTGTGGACTAGCAACATAGGCTTTCGGCCTTATTTCACGATAAAATTTGGTTCAGTTACTGCAGTGACTCGGTAGAGCACATACTTTTCGCACCCATCCCGCATAAGCGAGTTCACTTGAAAAGCAAGCTTTGATAAGGTAACAGAGAATAAAGAATATACTGCACGACAGCGAAGGAATAGTAAAGTGATTACTAGAAACAAATTACCTTTGTTGAACTTTGCCCACATTAGTCGACGTCTTGATTCTTAAGTCTTATAAGAGTGCCTACGAAAGACAAACACTTATGTGATAATAATTAGTTTTCTCTTGTAATGATAAAGATTAACAAGTTCTTTGACAAAGAATTTATAGACAACATAAGTTCACTTTTGGGTTCCCCTCTATACGTAAAATTTGTGTAAAATGAATTTACTTTAAATAAAAATTTCATGTTTTTCTTTAAATTTCAATTTTTAAGTTTGATGCAAAGTAGGTATATACCCAACATCCGGCAATCTGGTATTAAGAAGTGAAAAACTTAAAAAAAATGTTATAATCCTTTTTTAATATCAAACTTCTTGGAATCTGTAATGACAGTTTAGGTAAAAATTTGAAAATTAAAGAGGAAAACTCATTCTTTCGTTCGTTTTCCTAACATCATCAGGCGCAGTAAATTTCCATAATATATTCATTTTAAAGTGTAAACATAACAAATTTTATTTAGCATAATTTCATGCAACACATAATTTTATTTAAAAACATAGATACTACTCTATATAAATGCATGGGCGTATGCTCTATAGATATATATATATACAATATATTATAATAATTTTCGCAGCGGATATTAAAATGTTAACACGAAAACTTTCGCACGTTGATCCATTAACGTTGAAAGTGTCGCTCAAGGATGTTGTTTGTTATCTATCACTGTTGGAAGCTGGCAGACCGGAAGATAAACTGGAATGTAAGTGTTTTTTATGAAAAAAAAAAAAAAAAATTTAAACAAAATTTTATTAAGATTTCAAGAACATCTTAACTTATGAACTTTTTCGTCAGTTATGTTTCGTTTATATGACACCGACGGCAATGGCGTTTTAGATACAGCAGAAATGGATGCTATTGTTAATCAAATGATGGCCGTTGCTGAATATCTAGGTTGGGATGTTTCCGAACTTAGGCCGGTAAGCATTTTATATATTTACTAAAATTTTTTTCTCTTACACTCCACAACAATTGCGGTACAAAGATATATTAAGTTTGTCTGGCTGTATACAAAAGTCAGAAGTAGTTGAAATGGATCCAACCGATCAGTTCAAAATCCATTTCCGAATTAATCTAAGTTTGTCTGTCTGTCTGCTCGCCTTGTATTTTGGTGTTCAACATAGAGGTCGCAATTTTTGGCCTAAGAACGAAAGCTATCCGAAGTGACTCGGATTGGATCAATTTATATTATTTTACATTTATTGCTTCCCATAAAAAGCAGTATTTTAAAAAGTCGTTGTGTGTATTAAGCAAAGTGGTGCAGAGGTTTTAATGGTGGGCCCACGCCTTCTATAATGTTTTTAGTTTTTAACACAGAGGAAAAGATCTAGGCACCGATCATCATCTAGCCATGCCAAAAATGAACTTTATCTGCATTTATTAACGGTTCAATTGTACAGTTGGTGGAGAAAGTTGACCCTTCCTGATCTAGAGTAACCATAGTCTTTGTACCGAAACACTTTGTAGTGCCAACACTTGTGTTAGTTTCCCCCAGATTTATGGATAATTCCTATACCTATTTCCTCCAGTTTATAGTTCGTCTAATTTATATAAATTTAGCTTAATCTTGAAATTTAGTTACAAAAGTTTTTTTAGGGACAGATGATTAGAAAGCCGTGAAAGAATCGTAATTCTTGTAAACATAAGCATTTTTTGGGAAAACTCGAAACTTAATTCTTATAATATTAACAAACGTACTAATGGCTTTAATGTACTTCTGTCATGCGATGGTAGATACAAAGTTTTCTGATGTAATTAACTGGCTTGTCACCAACTCAAGTAAAGTTTTCTTTATAGTCCTCTTGCTAATTAAAAATCACGACAATTTTTTGAGCCAAAGCACACTAAAGTTGATTTTTATTTTCTCTTTGTTTTAATTAAAATAATCAAATAATGTTTTATAAGCACACTCACATAGCTATTTTATGGTATAGCACGTCGGCCGATAAGTCGTGACACTGAGTGTACGAAACACATTTTTTGTTTTGCAAGATTTGATTTTGATTTTATTCAACAACGTAGTCAAATTCAAGATTGACACAATCAACGCTTCTCTAACATTTTGATTGATGTTCGTAGAGCAATTTGTCAAGCCTATCTAAATACGCTCCAGTTTCCGCAATGGCCACATTATTTGATCCAAATCTTTTCCCTGATTCATCCTTTGGAAATGTGCGAAAAGAGAATAGTTGTTGAGAGTAAAGTGCAGCAACCCGATTTTCAGCTAATGATATTCTACCAGTACCGCCATCGATCCATGGCAAGTTTCACTTGTCCCACTGTGAGTACAGGCGATAGCTACTAGGAAAAAGGATTCCACTTTGCTTCAAGCCGAATGTTCCATATAATATTCGCCATTTAGCGTTCGTCCTTTTTCGAAATAATCAGTGAGCAATGAACACCACACGCATTCCAAAACAGGGATGCCAAAACCTTGTTGAATAATTGTTGCGCCTTCGCCTTTCGTCTTGCATTAAGTCCCCTATGCTCAGAAGGCTGTCGATTTGTCTCGAGAGTCTAGAGCCAAAAGAGTTTTTTTATTGCTGTTGAACTGTAAAAAACTGTGTCTCGATGAAGCAACACACTGATGTTGGACCACGAGTAATGGCATAAAATCTGCAAACTATCAGAAAGTTATTGTTTCGCGTTATTTTTCCCATCGAAAAGCACGGAATTCGGATTCTTTCCATTAACCTGAAAATAACGAAAGTAGCGACACTGAAATCACAACAACGTGCAGATAATAGGTCGAAATAATACACAATTTTGACATGTATCCTTTTAGCTTTGTCAACTTCTAAGAATAATATAAACTTTTTTTTAGGGATGACATCTATGTATCAGTTCCGTGACTCATTGCTCGATAGAGTACCTGCAGGTGTTTCTAATTTCTTTAAATATTTTATTTATTCTGATTTAAACAAAAAAAGAAACGACAGAAACAACAATCGAAAAGTTTTTCGCTACCAAAGCATATACAAGAGAATGTTTTAATTATCCAATTAAAGAAATAAAAAGTTCAGCTTTAGACTCTGCCTCACTTTTGTTCGCTGTCCTTCTTTTTTTCTCATTTAATTTCACCTTTGAAGTTATGAACGCACTCAGAGACTACGGGCAAAAGATATTTTTACCTTAGCATTGCAGCTTACTTACAAAAAAACAGAGTGTGTGCATGAAGCTGCTAAAGCGTACACGTCAAAAGCATTTTTCGCACTTAATTCACTTATAAAGATAAAAAGATAATGAGTGAAATGCAAAAAAATATATCCGAAGTAAATCTTCACTTGTATCATATTTTATTCTTTTGTGCCTTTGATAAGCAATTAAATCTTAAAACACATTGTACTTTTGTTACGCGAGCATGCAAAGGTGTGCTATCTAGTAGTAGCTTTTTTTATTAATTTTTGTTAATCTTTTTCTTTTACACACATGTCGTTAAGTATAAAGTAGAAATTATTATTCACTTGGTTAGTTTGGGATCTTCCCGACGTGTAATGAATTGCGTAAAAAATTTACTTTCGATTGCCTGATCACTTAAATGTGCTTTGACTTTCAATTACAAGCATTTTTATTAATTAAACCAGTTGTCTACACTTCAAGGGCTTTCCTTAACACTATTCTCTCGTGAATTTCGCTGCTTAACTGCTTAATTTTTGCGCCTCGCCTTCGTGCAGCCACACTTACCCATACCTCATACAAACGCACCACGAATTGTAATTCTCTTAATTAAACTCATCTTGTTTGCGTGGGTACAAGTAAACGTTAACTTAACTGAGGGACAATAACATGGAATTGGCTACAAATCAATATTAAATACGTCCTTTCTATTTGTAAATAAATTGAAAAATTCGTATAAAACGCTGCGGATAAATATTTAGATTTTGTGCGTCGGTCATATAAGGCTACGTGCCTAAGTGCGGCTTGGCCAATTTTAATTCAAACAAAACGTAGATATGTATATATAAAGTAAGTAATAGCCTGTCCACTTCAACTCGTCACAATAACTTATAAATGAACTAAATACAAAAGAAAGAAACAAAATGTTGTTGACGGGCAAAGCGGACCGCTACATACCTTACACTGCATTAACCAAGTTCAAGAGTGTAATGATAAATAGAAATTTCAACGGTATAAAAACGACTTTTTGAAAAAGTCTCTAAACGGCCTTCATCATAACCGAGCAGATAATTGTCGCCACCGTCACGAGTTGAATTCTTAATGCGGTCGTAGCTACAGTAGTTAGTAGTAGTAGAATATATAAAAGACTACAGTATAATATAGTATAGTAAGTGTTGTGCCCCCTCGGTAAACGCATAATACTTATTAATTGGGTACACAACCACTAGACTGCAGCCACTCGCTATCTCTCTCTTCACTTTCCAATCACAGTGTTACACGAATAGGGGACGGACATCTCTCTCAAACTTAAGTATGATTCGGCAAAGTCAAAGTCTCAAACATCTTATTATTAATGATCTATTTTTGCCATAAACAAAAACAAAAAATAATTACGGGAATCTATTATATTGAATGACAACGAAATTTGAAATGTGATCCTAATTTAAAAATTAAATTTTGTTTCTATATAAGAAAATATTTATCGCTGAGAATATTTACATGGGGACCCAAAAATAAGCTTACCTGAGTCACATTCCTTATATTCACTAAAAATACAAAATTTATTTATTAAAATTAACGTTTCAAAGTTTGGATGGAAAAATGTCAGTTTTCTAAAGCTCATCAAACCATTTCAAAAATTACGATCCGCAAGTACGTGGACAGACAACGGTCAGACGGAAGAATAAACGTGCCCAAATCAATTCGAAACATTATTTTGTGTACTACTTTTGAGTACTACACATGCGCACATGCATTCGCAGAATATAACCTTAACAGAAGCGGTGTGGAGTATATATAGCAAGGGGAAAAGTTTTTGAATTATTTTCCAGCAGACCGTCAGTTTGAAACCTTACAAATAGCAAAAGGAAATGGTTAAATCTTGCGCTCGCTACTATAGAAGTATTGTACGGTAGACGTTAATCTTGACGCTCTATACTGCGTAAAATTTTATACCCGTTTGTGAGAGCAAGTCATAGTTTTTTCGTATATTACTGAAAGAGCAGGAATTTTAAATGTTACCCAAACCTAATGCTGCAGCATAGAGTTCCAAATACATTTTATTCGGACAAACAAAAGAGTAAATATCGACACCATTCCCTTACGGGTGACTTCTTTTAAGTTCACCAAGCTCTATTAATCATTCTTAAAGTTTTCTTGAAATAAAATTCAAACAATACCGTATGCACTTTGCGGAATTTGTCGATCAGTCTATTGTCATCAGCTGAACTGCTTCTAACAGTGATAGCTGATAAAATCACTTTTCGCTGTCACACTTGTATTCTATAAGTTCATAACTATATACGATACATGAGCTCGCCGTGCATGAACCTGGCCGAACCATACCACATTCTTCTAATCATCAAGGATATCGTAATTGCAGCTCACCCTTCAATATTTGCTTTTTGTATTGTACGTCGTACTGTGTTCGTCGAAACAGTACTACTCTAGTTCTCAACGTTCGTCTGTCTCTGCCAAGTAATTTTGGATTTCGAATACTATTCCTTTTCCCCGATAATGTTTCACAATGTGTTTTGCACATTGCCATTATCGCGTATACTGTCGCTCGCGAAACATTAAACCATTCGGCCATTTTTGGCAAAGACACTCCCGCCAACCGAGCGCCAACGCCTTAACTTTTTTCAAAGTCCGGAAGATCACACATTCCATCGATCATTTGTTCTAACCGTTGGCAAACTAAGTGCATAAGTCATGGAAGTATAGCCTGCAATCGCAGTTGTCCAAAACATATGCAGTAATCCCCACTATAACGCGGTAGATTGGTTCCGCGCTATAGGAACGA